AAAACAAAACATGGAAAAGTACAAAAGATACTGTAACAAACACCCACTGTCCAACATAAACCCATTTTCTCCAGCCCTTGTCCGAGCACTGAAACCCAAGATCGGGCCAGCACCCTCCCCGCTCCCCTCCCCCACCACCCTGCTCCCCGAGGCCGCCGACCCTGGGCGTCCAGTCGGCTGACCCCGGGGGCGGGTCCCCTGGGCCCTGCACGTCAGCTCCTGGCTCTCTCTGCAGCTGCTTGGATTTCTCTAACATTTATTTTTTAATTTATCGATTTTTTCCCCTTTTTTGTGCCCTGACCAGGGATTGAACCTGGTACCTTGGCAGACTGGGATGCTCTAACCAACTGAGCCACTGGCCAGGCTGCTTGGATTCCTGACATTACGTTTCTGTGACCTTCCGTGACACCTGCTCTTTAGTTAGGCTGGTGGCAACGACCCCCCTCGCTCTGGGAAGTCCCAGGCGGCACCGGGCGGGTCTGCCTGTCTCCGCACGGCACAGGCCAGGCTGCCCCCACGCCCCGAGGCACAGGGGCAGTGTCTCAGCCGGACCCTCCGGGGGCGGGGTGGGCGAGTGTGTCCCTGTCACCGTCTGGGGTGGTGGGTGGGTGGTGGAAGGAGGGCCAGAGGGAAGCCCGCTGGGCAGACGGGATGCAGGGAGGAGGGAGGAAGACAGGGTACGGCGGGGGGCCCTCGCAGCCCGAGCCCCCCTCACCACCTTCTCTCCCCGTCCGACCCGCAGCCAAGTACCCCGCCATCAAGGCCCTGATGCGGCCGGACCCTCAGCTCAAGTGGACGGTGCTGGGGATGGTGCTGGCGCAGCTGCTGGCCTGCTGGCTGGTGCGGGGGCTGGCGTGGCGCTGGCTGTTCTTCTGGGCCTACGCCTTCGGCGGCTGCGTGAACCACTCGCTGACGCTGGCCATCCACGACATCTCGCACAACACCGCCTTCGGCACGGGCCGCGCCGCCCGCAACCGCTGGTTCGCCGTCTTCGCCAACCTGCCCGTGGGCGTGCCCTATGCCGCCTCCTTCAAGAAGTACCACGTGGACCACCACCGCTACCTGGGCGGCGACGGGCTGGACGTGGACGTGCCCACGCGCCTGGAGGGCTGGTTCTTCTGCACGCCGGCCCGCAAGCTGGTCTGGCTGGCGCTGCAGCCCCTGTTCTACTCGCTCCGGCCGCTCTGCGTGAACCCCAAGGCTCTGACCCGCATGGAGGTGTTCAATGCCCTGGTCCAGCTGGCCGCTGACCTGACCATCTTTGCCCTCTGGGGGCTCAAGCCCGTGGTCTACCTCCTGGCCAGCTCCCTGCTGGGCCTGGGTCTGCACCCCATCTCTGGCCACTTCGTGGCTGAGCACTACATGTTCCTCAAGGGCCACGAGACCTACTCCTACTACGGGCCCCTCAACTGGATCACCTTCAACGTGGGCTACCACATGGAGCACCACGACTTCCCCAGCATCCCCGGCTGCAACCTGCCCCTGGTACGTGGCTGCCTGCGGGGGCGCCGTGGTGAGGGGAGCGCGGTGTCCGAGGGGGTGGGGAGGCGTGGCAGGGGGCCTGGGGCCACACCTTGACCTTCTCTTCCTTTTGTGCTGATCCCGGGGTGGCTAGGGTCCCAGCTGTGGCCCCCAGGGCAAAGGGAAAGGCCACACCGTACAGGCGAGTGCCCCAAGGAGGGGTACCCGGGGGAGGCAGGGGCTCAAGGGGACATTTAGTTTAGACCAGTTAGTGTAATGGGAACCTGTTTGAGCCCAGCTGCGGCATGTGCTGGCTGGGCACCCCCGGGGGAAACCGCCCGCCCTCTCTGTGCCTTGACTGCCCCTTCTGTAAAATGGGGCAGCAGTAGTGACCGTGTGTAAAGCCCCTCTCCTTCCTGGCTGCCAGTCCCTGCTCATTTCCCGTCACTGCCCTGTGACTTCCTGGGGGCACACGTGACACAGAACGGACAGGGTGGGCTCTGTGACCCAGGGGGCCAGGCCTCCGTGCAGAGTGGGAGTCCCCGGCTGGTGGCTCTGCCCCGGGAGACCTGTGGGCGGGGACTTTCTGAGGGGGGACGGAGTGGGAGGCGGGAGGGGGAGGAGTCATTCGGTCTGGGTGGGCGGGCTGGAGACAGCTGAGGTGCCCCGGTACTGGGGGGCAGGAGGGGAGGGGGGCAGTGAGGCCGTCTGAGTGTGCGTGGGTGTGCACATGCCTTTGTGTGGGTGGGTGCACGTGTGCCTGAGTGTGCACGTGTCTGTGCACGTGGCTGTGTGAGCACTCGTCTGGTGGGCAGCGCCTGCCCTTCCCCCACCCCTCCTGTCCTGCTGAAGGCTCTGAGGCCGTGCTCTGAGCCGGGCACCCTCTGACTGAGGCCTCGCCATAAGCCGATTTGGCAGGTGCCCTCACTGTCCCCATTTCACAGATGAGAGGGCAGGGGCTCAGAGAGTGCCTGCTGCAGGAAGGAGCAGAGCCAGAATCTGGACCCAAGGTGGTCACGGAGTGCCCTTCTGAGAGCAGCGAATGGCTCCCTGCCTGCTCCAGTGGGGGTCACCTCCTCCCCCTGAGCCCTGCCTACAGCTGTAACACAGCCCCTGAGCAGGGGGGTGTCCTCTATGGGGAGCGGAGGCCCCACCCCCGCACCCCGTGCACTCTGCCAGCAGGCCGGGTGCTGAGGCTGGGAGTACTCCCTGGAGGAGGCAGCTGAGGGTGTCCGGTGCAGATCGGGGCTGGGAGCTGGAGGGGGCGAGGGGTGCAGGGAGGCCCCTGGGAAACGACAAGCACCGAGGCTGCGAGGAGGGGTTTGGGGTGAGGGGTGTCAGCTCGGGGAGGGCAGAGGAGCAGCGGGTGCAGAGGAGCGTGGACGTGGCCACGGCACAGTGGGGCTCAGGCTGGGCTGGGCCCCAGGACTCGGTAGGAGCCTGAGGGAGGAGGACCCGGCCCACCCTGGGCTCGTGGGTCAGAAACTCCAGCGTGGGCCCTGGGGACGGAAGGGTGCATTTCGAACTCGGGGCAGGGGCAGGGGCAGAGACTGTGCCCTGGCTAAGGGATGGTCAGCACCAGCCAGCCTGGCCAAGCTGGACATGGGTACCCAGGCGGGAAAACGTGTGTGTGTGTGTGTGTGTGTGTGTGTGTCTGTGTGTGCATGTTCCCGTGTGCGTGTGGCGGAGGCCCGTCCGAGCCGAGGCGCAGCCCGTGACCAGCTCCCCTCCCGCAGGTGCGGAAGATCGCGCCCGAGTACTACGACCACCTGCCGCAGCACCACTCGTGGGTGAAGGTGCTCTGGGATTTCGTGTTCGAGGACTCCCTGGGGCCCTACGCCAGGGTGAAGCGCGTGTGCAAGCTGGCGGGGGACCGCCTGTGAGCCGGACCCGCTGGCGCCGGAGGTGGACGACCGACCCCGCTGTGCCCCGCCCCTCTGCTGCAGAGCTGGCTGTCGCGCGGCACTCCCGGGGCCTTGTGCCCAGAACTGGTTTGGCTGCATTTGGTCCCCGAACTCTGAGCTGCTGCTTGTGTGCCGGGTCCCTGGCACCGCCAGGGCGTGGGGGGTGGAGGTGGCGGGCACTGGTGCCTCCCGGAGAAGCTCCGTCTGCCCGTGGACTTGCCGATGACCTTGGGCCAGGCCCGCCCTCCTGGGGCCTGGCAGGGATGGCCTGCCCTGCCCGCTCTGTGCCCCGCCCCCTCGGGCTCCTTCCTCAGGTGTCCCCGTGCCCTAAATTAAACGAGCATTTGTTTCCACACCCACGGGCCTGCTCTCGAGGGGCGGGCAGTCTCGGCTCCAGCCTGGGTCTGACTGAGAACGGGGACCCCGCCAGACCCGGACTGGGGGTGGTCCCAAAGCCATACCCCCCACCCGCTCCTGCCCACTGGGGACCACTGCTGCCCCCACACCTTGTGCAAGGCAGCAATTCCTGCGGGCTCTGCCTTTGTGGGGGGCTAGCCTTTGGGGGTACAGGCAGCAGAAGGCCCCCAAGTGCCCTGCAAGCCCACATGGCCCTGGAGCTGTCCCTCCTCTCCGCCCCACTGGGCACTGCCCTCCCCCAGCCCATGTCGCCTGCCCCTGCTGCCCACCCCCCAGGCCTGGCCGGGGCCCACCCACAGGGGAAGCCTTCCCAGAGTCCCAGGGGCGTGTCCCCCCACCAGCTCCAAACAGGGGCCACAGGCCAGATGCACGGTGGCTGGACAGGTGACTGCAGGTCAGAAGGAAGAGGGCTGGTGTCCTTGGTGTCCCTGTGAATGGGGACATGGCTCTGTCCTGACTTGGGAGGGGCTGATGGGAGGCATCCTTCCCATCAGCCCCTGGGCTCCCCACCTTCCCCGGGCTCGGGGCTGCAGGACCCCTGGCCCTTGGGGGTGGAAGGAAGCAGGAGAGACCAGTTAAGACCGCCCCTGGGCCCTGGGCTGGCCCCCCAGAGATCAGGGCCTCTGCTGACCTCCTGACCGCAGAACAGCCCTCTCGCTGCCTCTTAGGGACCCTTGGGGACCCTCTGGGGGTGAGGCACATCAGAGGCTGCCAGGGAACAGCAGGCCCCTCGTCACCCATGCACTGGGGCCCCCCTCCCCTCCTCCCAGGGTCTTCAGAGGGCCACAGAGCCAGGAGCCAGGCACACCGCGATGTCCAAGGTGGCAGTGGGCTGGCCGCTGGATTTTGAGGCCAGCCTGTGGGCTGGGCCGAGAGTCAGGGCCTCCCTGGCCACAGTGAGGAACCTGCATGGTCTGGGAAGGGCTGGCAGGTGCCCCCTCGGTGCGGTGGTGGGCCTACCGGGTGCACGCTCCTGGCCCCGCAGGGCAGGATGCACACAAACGCAGGGCCGCGCAGCACCCCGGGCTGCCTCCCACGCCCCTGTGGGCGTGGCTCCCGTGGCCCCCAGGACCTGCGGGAGGAGCCTGAGCCGCCCCTCCCCCTCCCCCAGGGCCCCATCTCACTCCTATTCTGGTCACCCCCCCACCCACGTGGGTCCTTCCCCCGTGGGGCGTCCCGGAGCCAGAGCTGGCATGAGAGAGCGCACGGGAGCCGGGCGTGTGGACAGGAAGCGTTTATTACACGGGGACACAGACACTGTGGGGCGTGCACAGGCCTTCGCACAGGGCCCTGGGGAGGCGCTGAGCAGGCACGGCCCGCCCGCCCGCCCAGGTGCCGACAGCGTCACCCAGGAAGAACCACCTAATGAAGCGTGTGATTTGGGGGTGTCTTCTCTATAAACCAAAAGAAATGTACACTTAAATAGACAAATATAAAATACAAAAAAAGGTGAGTAGACCTGGTGTTGTGTGTCAGGTAGAATCTAAAAAATCCAGGAACTGAACTGTTTCCTCATTGTAATGTTTCGTCACAGGCTAAGACTTCGCACGAAGTGCATCCCAGCCCCAGTGCGCGCTGGCGGGTGCTGCAGGCCGGGGCCGTCCGCCGGGGCCGCGTCTCGGGGCGCAGGGGCCTCGCGCCCTACGAGGTGCTGATTCCGCTCAGCTCCTGCCTGATGGCTGTGGACAGGACGGAACGGGAGGGGGGGCTCAGGTGTGGCAGGGACCAGCCCGGCCCTGTCCCCACGCCCCGGTGCGGTCCTTCCGGGGCCTGTGTCTCTGAGCGCTCCGCCCAGGCTCCCGGAGGCCAGAGGCCCAGGCTCCCGGAGGCCAGAGGCCCAGGCTCGAGGTGCGCGGGGCACGGGCACGGGTCTCGTGGGTCTCACCGCGTCTCCCCAGCCCGCAGACCCTGGCACAGGGCCGGCGGGGAGACCTGCACCAGGCCTCGGAGCTGGGGCGGGGCTGGCAGGCAGCAGGATCGCTGGACAGGTCTGGACAGGTGGACCCCTTGGTTCTGCTCGGAGGTACCCAGGAGCCCTGCCCCCGACCACAGCTGCAGGAAGTCCAGGGCCTGAGCTCCGCCCCTCCCAGGGAGGGGCCGGGGCTCTGCTCTTCTCCTCAGCTTCCTCCTGTCCCCACTCCTAGGACCCCCCCAGATTCAGGCCTTTCCCTGGACAGACCCTACGGGGCCTGGAGCCAAAGGCCCAGAGGGAAAGTTGGGTGAGCGCTGGGCAGTCATCCGGGAAGGAGGGGCAGTTTCTCGGGGCCCCCCACATTGCCTTCCTTCCCCAGCGCCCACTCGGCTGCTAGAGAGGCAGCCCCACCTGTGACCGCACCCCCACAGCCCCCACCCCTGCCAGCTGCCTCTGCACACGGGCTGCCCCCAGCCGCCAGCGCCCCGCCTGGGGGTCACCCAGCAATAAAGCCGAGTCAGTAGCCGGCCTCCGGCTCCTTTCCGGCCCCAGCTGTGCCCGCTCTGTTCACTCATTACCTCTTATCTGCGGTGGGGGCCGGGCAGACGGGGACTGCGTGTTCTCTGCGGGGGGCCAGGCCGGGGTGTGGCCGGGACGCCCAGCTCTGGACAGGGGTCTGGGTCTGGGGCGCCCCAGGCAGCCTCCCACCCGAGCCTCTCCCCTCTCTCTGGGGTCCAGGCAGCCCCCTTCGTCTCCAGCCCCCCATCACCTCCAGTCCCCGGCTGCGCCAGTCCTGCCTGAGCAGACCTCTCCTTGCCCCCTGACCCGGGTCTGAGCCAGGGCACCAAAGGCTGGGGGAGGCGGGCCGGAATGGGGGGCGTTCATTGTGAACCAGAGCCCCCGGCCTTCTTGCCCAGCCCGGGGCCAGGCAGGCTGTGGACCGGCTCAGGCCCGTGAAGTGGCTCTGTGCTTTCCGGGTCCCTCCAACACTCCCAGGGGGCGGGGGGAGCAGAGTCAAGAAAGCCAGCCTAAGTCCGCGGCCGCAGAAACAGAGCAGCGAGCAGGGGAGCTGCTTCGGCTGCGCTGGGCTTGGGGGGATGCTCATGATCGCCTCCCCCGAGCAGTTACCATGGCTGCCATGGCCTCAGGGCAAGCCCAGGAGGTGGGGATGGCAGATTCAGGTGTCCCGAGTCCCGTGACGTGTCTAGGCCTCAGCCTGCTGGCTGAGAGCATGGGGAGGTGACGTGGGCCGTTGGGGGACAGTGAAACCAACGGAGTACCAGAGGACTCCCAAGTGCCAAACCGAAGGCCCCCCAGGCCCTGGGTGGCCTCCTCGGGTGGCCCCCCCCCGGCCCCCTGCCTTGTGGCCCTGGGTGGCGGGCCCCACCCCGCCACGGGAACCCCGGCTGCATGGGACTCACCGTCGATGATCTCCTCCTTCACCTTGTGGAGCTCTCGGACCACCTCCTCCAGGATCTCCTGCGGGAGCAGAGGCCCGTGAGGAGCAGGCGGTGGGGACGAAGGCTGGCCTTGTGGGGGGCGGTGTGTCTGAGGGGCAGGGGGTCCTGGGCCTCCCTGGGTGGGGGGGGACTGGGCTGGAGCGGGGCCCTGCAGCCTCCCACACCTCAGGCCCGCTCTGGAGCCCCGCCCGGACAGACGGAGGGATGCTTCGTCCCGGCGAGGGCACGGGCTGGGGCCCAGCCCTGCGGCCGCCCTCCAGGGCCGGCTCCCTGCCTGACTGGCAGCCACGGGGGCCCCTGGGCCTGCCCGCCGGCCCACGCACGTGCTCCGAGGTGGCCCCGGCCCCGGCCCCTTCACGGCCTCTCAGGAAAGGACACACTCACCTGTTTTATCCGGTCCAAATCGAAGGCATCCAGGGCCACGTCGTTGACACTTCCTGCCGGCTTCATCCTGGGGAGGGGACACAGGGTGCGGTTACGTGGGTGCGCCCGCCGGGCCCCCACGCCGGGGGACGGAGTGTGAGGAGGAGCCTGGGTGCCACAGAGCCTCCGCTCCGGGCGGGCCCTGCCGGCCGGGCCAGGCACCGCCCTCCCCCTCCCCAGCCCCTCAAAGGCCTTTGCTTCGTCTCTGGCCACAGCTCTGCTGCGCGGGGAGGGTCCCAGCGCCCCGTCCCCAGGATCTCATGGTAACATGACCACATTTCCCAACCCAAGGGCCGGCACTTGGGTCACCGCAGGGGCTGCTTCCGGGCTCAGGAGCTCTCGTGCGAGCGGCAGTGCAGGCGGGCTGCCGCCCCCCAGGGAGAAACACATCGGTCAGCTCGTCCTCAGGGTGGGGCCCGTGTCCCTGGCTCACGGGAGGCCTCGGGGGAAACTAGTGAGAACGGCATTAAGTCGGATGCAAAGCTGCAGAAACTCTGTACAGTGAACGCTCGTCCTAAAGGCCTAAGTTCTCCGTAGAGCCCGACTTCTTCCATCAGCGCCCGTGGATGTGGTCTGCTCTTTGCAGAGCTCCTGACCTAAAGCGAGCTGGCCTAGAAGTTCACGTCCCACTGCCCGGCCCTCCCAAGCAGACCGAGGTGCGCCGTCTGGACCCGGTTCTCTCCCCACGTGCGGAGAAAGGCTGGTGGGCCTGCAGGTGCAGGGCGGTGACATGGCTGAGCCGCTGCAGGGACCGTGGGTGTGACAGGCGGTGGACACACAGTGGCCGGGCAGGGCCGGCCCGGCTGCAAGGCCACTGGACAGAGGAGGACTGCTGGTCTCCGTGGCGAGGGAAAAACGCACGAAAACCAGGGCGCCGCTGTGGGAAAGTGTGGAGGCGCCTCGGAAAATGAGGGGCAGACCCGCTGTCCCACTGCTGGGTCTCCTCCGGGGAGAGGGTCACTGAAGGGGACGCAGTCGGGAGAGGTGCCTGCACCCGCCCGTGCTCACTGCAGCGCAGCCACCCAAGTGCCCAGGGACGGGCCACTGGGCACAGAGGGTGCGGGACCCACGCAATGGGAAGGACCCAGGGCCGCACTGGGGAGGCCTGCTGTTTGTGGTGGCACGGGGGCACCCAGAGGGCCCGATGCTCCGTGAGATAAGCCAGGCGGAGAAAGACAAATAGCGTGTGACCTCACCTCGAGGGAATCTAAGAAAACCAGACTTACCGAACAAAGGGCAGCCCGGGGGGTGTCAGGGGCTGGGGGGGGAGGCCTGGTGCACACACTCCCACCCACTCTGGGGCGGACAGGTCGCGGGCGTGGGGCGCACGGCAGGGCACTAGTCAGCGCACTGCACTGTGTACTCGAGAGCAGCCAGGAAAGCGGGTCTTGAGAGACCTCACCGCGCACACGCGCACACACACACACACACACACGGCCCACTCTGCCCGATACGCAGACACGCTAAGTCACCGTGCGTGCACCTCCAGCCGGCACAACGGCGGTGCGGAGGGTATCCCAGTGGAGCCGGGACAAAGCCCGAGGCCCGGCGCACAGAACCAGGTGCATGTGAGTGAGAGCACGGGACGCCTGAGCACCCCTCCCCCCGGGGAACTCCGGCAGCGGGCCCACCGTGGCCCTGAGTGCATGGGTGAGCGATGCCGCTCCCGACGGGGAGTGGGGCCCAGCTCTGACCTAGGTCCCTCGCACCCGCCCTGTAGGTTCAAGGGTCTGTGGTAGCAGCAATTTTCTGGGTCCCCTGGGCCAATGGCCTCACCTCTCTGTGCACCCCCCCTCCCCCATGACAGTCCCCAGAGGGCAACGCTGCCGGGCTCTGTGAGCCCAGGGGCGCTGCTGCCAGAGGGCCCACGCCACACCGGAGGCCAGAGCGGTCTCTTCCGAGTGGGACGCCTGGCAGCGTGGCCCCCGCACAGCGGGGGTGCCCCGCCTCTGCTCCTGCCCCTCTGGGGCTGTCCCTGCGCTCAGGGCTCCGGACTGGCCTGCTCACGGCGCTGAAGCCAAGCTCTCGTCACGTGACTCCCTCCCGCCCTCCGCTCTCCCCACGCTGCAGCCGCACGGCCATCTCTGTCCTGTGGACCTGCCGGGCTGGTGACAGGATCCGGGCCTCAGCACCTCCACGCCTCCAGCTGGAAAGCTGTCCCCACGCCTTAGGGGAATTCAGATGCCACCCCCAGGAGGGGCCTGCCCAGCCCACTCGCTAGCGTTCCTGTCCCCGGAGCCGTCTCCCCGGCGACCTGGTGCAGCCCCATGGCGCCGGCAGGGCCCACAGCCGGCCCAGAACCCGGCAGACCACGGGCCGGCTATCCCTGTGACGTCCTCCTCCCTGCTCGCCGAGTCTGCCGCCCCCCTCCCACCAGGGCCGGGCCGGAGGGTGGGCTCTGGAGGCCCGCAGACTCAGGCCACGCCGGGCCTGCGGTCACCACGGGCTGCCCGCCCCTGACCTCAGGCAACCTGGGCTCCGGACGCCCTGTCCTGTCACTGCACCAGCCCTTGGTTTGGGAAACATGGTCAGCACCCCGGGGACCCGGCTGTATGCAGTGGAAGGCGAGGAGGAGGAGGGCGCTGGGCCAGTCGCAGATGGCTGTGCCGTGGGAGGCAGCTCCAGCGAGGGAGCACGGCCCGTGTCCAGCTCTTGTCACACGGCTGTCCGCACGACTGCCCCAGGACACGGTCAGCGAGCCCGGCACTGGGACTTGCCCTCGGCTCCACCGGCCCCTCACCGGGCGGGTGGTCCCCCCACTTCTCCCCTTCAGAGGGGGGCGGAAGCAGCAGCCCCCAGCCCTACCGCCCGGGGCCTGACAGAAGAGCAGACGGCCAGCTCCCAGAGCCACTGTTAGAGGACGGGACACGGGACGGGGTCCGGGGCGGGTGTTAGTCACGGCAGGGCGCAGGGGAGGCCCCAGGGACGGGGCTGTTCGGTACCTAGAGTGAGGCTGCGGCTGGAGGGGGCTCTTAGCTTCGGGGCTCTTGGCCACAGACAGGGTTCTAGGGCAGCGGGACGAAACAGACACGTGAATGGGCGCGTGGCCACCGCGGCCCCACCGGACGCGCACGCGCGGTCAGGCCTGCCCGGCGCTCACCTGGACAGCAGTGTGGACACAGGCTTCTCCACAGAGTTGCTCCGCTCCCAGGGCTTCCGGCCGGCCTCTGCCAATCACATCGCGGACGGGGGGCCTCAGGGCTGAGGGGACTCCCAGTCCCCACCCACACCCCCGACGGGAGGTCCCCCAACGCCTGCCAGGAGGTCCGTTCCCCACTGGCCCAGGCGGCCCTCGCAGGGCGGGGGATGACACCGTCGTCACCCCGTGTCTTCCCCCTCTCAGGACCCGGTTGACCTTGACTTCTGGTCTAGTTTTGAGTCCGCCCCATGGACAGTCCCCTCTCCTTATTGGCACCTGAACCCAGTGGTCAAGGAACCTCTCAGCTACGACCCTGGGCAGGAGGCTGAGCCCCAGGGCCACCTGGTGCCACCCGACAGGTGCTGGCAGACGGGCCGGCTGCTCCTCCCGTGTGTGGCTGATGCCCCGGGGGTAGACCCCGCGTGCACGGCCCTCCTGGCCCTCTGTCATCCGCAGAGCGAGGCGGTGGGGTCAGACCGTCTCCCTGGGGAGCGCCCACCCCACTCTGGGGCCTGGCCCAGCGCAGAGCAGGGCAGGGCGGCCTCTCACCTGAGGAGTTGGGCGGCTGGCTGGCTGCTCGGGTCCCCGGGGACGGGGAGGTGCTCGGCTCCTCCTGCAACGGGAGGAGGGGCCTGGCGTCAGTCTGGCCACGGAGGCTGGTGGGGCAGGTCAGCCATGAGGCCTCAGGGTTTTTTTGTAAGGAACATACGGTTACACTTTTATAAACAGTAAAACAATGAATATTATTAACGACTGAAAACCGCAGACCCCGGTGGGGAGGTGGCCGGCGCTAAGGGCCGAGGAACCTCCCCGGCTGGGGGTCCGTTTGCACAAAGCAGAATTTACGGAGACGTGCAGGCTGAGGAGGAGGCGGTGGGGGGCTGAGGGGACCGGGCAGCTCGAGCCATGGGGGCCAGAAGCCGGGGAAATCAGGGAGGGCTGGAGCCCAGGGGTCACATCCGGCTGCAACTCTTCTGTCTCCTGCTGCCACTCGGTTGTCGCCTGTATGCCATCTGTAGCTCAGGTCCCACCTTAGCCGTTTTAACAGGGGCCGTTTCTCTGGGGCACGCTTAGCACGGAGGGAAAGAGAGCGAGGCGCCGGAGCGGAAGCGGACGCCTCGGGCCTGGGTGGCCGGGCTCGGCTCCGGGACGCCCAGGAAGGGCCAGGGCCAGGGTCTTGGGTCCCCCGCCCAGCTCCCGCTGGGGTCCGTGGACTCAAGGAGCCTTTAAGAACAGAAGTGACTGGAAAATAAAAACCACCTGGTCTTCCAGCACCGGGCCCAGGAGGCCGGGATCTGTCTGCGTGGCCCCTCCCCGCTCCAGGCCCCAGACCTTTACCCCCAGGGCCCGGGGTGGCCCTGCTGCTCTGCCGCCGTGGTCCTCGGGCTCCAGGTGGAGCGTGTCTGGGCCCTGTGCTGTGGGGCAGGCGTGACCGCCCCTCCGGTTGTCTCTCCTCCTGTCCCCTGTCCCCCGTCCCTCCTACAATCACCTGGTGAAGTACCCATCACATACACGTCGAAACCCAGTGCGCCCCAGTGCCCCAGGGGCCTGGCCCGGGGCCTTCCCGGTCCCGTCACACTGGTGGGGGCAGGCGACCGGACATCTGCTCACCGTTTGGCTCTCATCTTCCTTTTTATCGGCCGGCTTGTCTGTTTGGGAGGCTGCTTTTCTCCTAACCCGGGGGAAGAAGACTCAAGTCAGCTCCTGAAGGTTCCCCCCCACCCCCCGGACACCTCCTGGGTGCGGACACAGCTTGGTGGGCAGAGGGCGCCGTGGGGGGGGGGGACGGGATGGGCGCCCTGCGCAGGACGGGGTGTCCCCGAGCGCCCGCCTGGTCTGTGGCAGTGCCTGGCCCGGGAGTGTCCGGGCCAGAGAGGATGGGGCCGGGGGACCCCGCTCTCTGTTTGTAGCGCTCCAGGTCGGAAGTGGGTTGGCAGCGTCCGGGTCCCTGGGTGGCAGCTGTCCCCCGGGCTGCCCCGAGGCCTGGGCCCCGGGATCCGGAGTGGGGCCCTCTGGGCCGAGGCCTGTCACGGTCAGGGCAGTGGGAACTTCCCGAGTGCAGGCGACCTGCCCGGGTGAGCAGGCCACCCCGAGCGAGGGAGGAAGGGCCCTCTCCGTATCACCCCGACACGGACCCCCACCGACGCCCTCCAGTCAGTGCACCCACTCCCCACGAGTGGGGCTCTCTCTCCGCGTCCTGGAGGACTCGCCGCGGCCCGTTCCCTCAGGGGTCCCCCCTGTGGCCGACTCCCAGGTCTGCACACCAGACCCCTGCGATCTCCAGGTCACGCCTTCGGGCACCGCAGCTCCGTGAGGCCGCCCATACACGTAACCGTCAGAACCGGCAGCATGCGCGACCCATCGACAAGGACACTGGTCTGATGGGGGGGAGGGGTCGCCGGCCGGCTGTCGCCAGTGGGGTGATGGGGCCCACACTGCAGGCTCCTCACCCACACAGGGATCCCCTCTGCAGCGTTCTCGTCTCGGGGAACGCAGGCCTGCCCGCCCACCCACCGCTCGAGCCTCACACACCTCCGCTCCCCACCATGGCGAGGCCGGCCACTTCTCCCTCTGCGCTATTTCGAGTTCGCCTTTTCCCGTCTCAGCGTCACTTTGGACAACTAGTGCAAGCTGCCGGCACTGCTTCCTGGGCGACGGCAGCATCCGCGCTGGCCCAGCCGCCCAGCCCCGTGAAGGTTCAAGGCCAGAGCGCCCGCCCACCCTCCCGCGGGAGCGCGGAGCACAGGGAGGCCCTCTGCAGGCCCTGCCCCGACCTCTGCCCCCACTGCAGGGAGGAGGAGGGCCTGGAGGGGGAGGCCCGCGTCTGCCAGCGGCCCCACCCGGCACCCCTCGCCAGGGCCCACTTCAAAGGGCAGCCCCAGGAGCCCCCGCTGAGAGGTGCAAAGCGTGTTTGTTCTCCAGAGGGCGGGCCGGCACCTGGGCGGCTCACTGGCTCCTGGCAAATGCGGTCTCTTCCTGTGCTTGGGAACTTCCTCTCCCTTTGGTCTCGGCCGTCGAGGCCGGGCTGCTATTGTTACTGTGTTGGTTTTGGACTTGGGGAAAGCGTGAATATTTTTTTTTTTTTGAAGAACACCCTCTGTTTTCCTAGGAGGCCTGGATACTTCTCGGAGACCAAGGTGCCGGCAGGGGGGGGCTGTCTTGGCCAGCCGGGCACCCACCCCTGCCCACTGCGCCCCTGCTCTTCTCTCTGCACCTGCCAGGTGCTCCCCCCTCCCCCCGCCTCAGCCCTTCACGGCCCAGCACGTGGGACACCTCCTCTGGGGGGCCATCCCGGCTCTCGCCCCCACGACGTGCAGCCACAGCCACCCTGCCCACCTCCGGGCACTGCCTGCCCCCGCTCTCGGTTCCCTCTGTGTGTCGGGCCCAGCTGGAGGCTCCTCGGGGGGCCTGTGCTGCGGGTCACCCTCCGTGTGTGTGGAGAGCGTGGGCAGGAAATGCGGGCTCTGGCTGCGCAGCGGAGTGTCAGAGCAGCTGGCTCCCTGCACGTGGGGTAGCTGGTCCCCCCCGTTCTCACAGAGCTGTGCAAACGTGAGGACGTAAGGAGGCGAGGGGGGACAAGAAGGGCCCGGGCACACAGCGCGCTCGTGCTCAGGGCGTGCCCACTCGGAGGGCAGAGGGCAAAGCCTGGCGGAGGGGACAGCAGGCAGGAGGGGTCGTCGCTGGAGCAAGGCCCCGCCCTGGCTTTCCTTGGACCACAGGGGGTGCTGTCCTGACAGGGCCCTCTGGTGCCCTGGTGAGCCGCAGTGTCAGTGACCTGTCGGCTCGCCCCTGCCATCGTGGCGCATTTACAAGTAAAATCAAGATTGGTAACCCTTCCCGGAGGAGCCGTGTGGTGTCCCCGCCCACTTGGGTTTCACCTGGGGAACCACCAACAGCCACCGGGACAGGCTGGCGGCCACCCCGCCCGCTGGTGCGGGTGGAGGAGGGGATGACGGGCACCAGGCCCCCGGCCCACCCATGACATGGACGGGACTGGTCCTCCACTTCCTAAGGGCCATGTGCCCTGGGCTCTGGCCACTTCGCACGCCCCTTTCCGTGCCCTCCACAACGACCCCCGGCCCTGCACTCGGGTGGCGTGCCCCGGGCCACTCCAGCTCTGGGGCCCCGTCTTGTTAACACTGAGACCCTGAGGGCAGGGTCTCCGAAACTGTCCCCCTCTCTGCTCAGGCCCCGGCTGTCCTGGGGAGAGACGCTTCAGTAGCTGCTGCACGGGAGAGTGGGGTTTGGAGTTCACAGGACTGACTCCCTTTGGCCCGACGCCTCCGGCTGACCCCACGCGGAGGGAAAGATGAAACCGTCATGCACTCACTGCACGGCTGAACCCAGGCAACAACGCGCTCCGGGCACAGGCAAAGACTCGGGTTCGAGGGCGAGGGCGGGAGCCCCCAGCAGGCGGCCGAGCCCGGGGGACCGAGCACCCACCTCTTGGCCAGCAGTTTGTTCATTTCCTCCATGAGGCCGCCGCCGCCGCCGCCCCCGCTGCTCGCCCGGTTCGCGTCGGACTTCGAGGTCCCGCTGGGACTGGAGCCTCCGGACGCATCTTCCGGCTGAGGGGGAAGGGCGCGGCTTTAGTCGGCCGTCTGTCCCTCGAGGGGACGAGGGGACGTGAGTGTGGACGTGAGTGTGGACGTGCGACTCCTGCGACTGCAGTGCTGCCAGAGGCCTCGGGGGCCACCGAGGTCGCGTTCCCCAACCCCACGGGCGACACAGCACTGGAGAGGAGCCGGGCCTGCGGGCCGCACAGCAGACAGCCCCGGGGCCTCGGCACAGAGCCAGAGGTCCTGGCAGGCCCGGTGCGGCCCGCAGTGGGGAGGAGACGGTTCTCGGGAGGAAGCCAAACTCCACCGGACGTGCATGCGGGAGCCACAGCCACTCGGCCCCATTCCCCGGCTCCGGCTCCTGGACGCCGGCAGACGGGTGCGGGACGGGAGCCCCAGCCCACACTGCACTGACAGACTGCGGTGAGCACGCCGGCCGGCCAGACCCCTGAGCCCAGCCCCCTCGTCCATCAGGGGGCAGCCCGCCCCGCCTGTGAAGGTCACCGCGAGGGCTGGCAGTGCACCCTGCACCCGAGCGCCCTGCGTGGCTCACAAGGTGCCGCCCCGCAGGTTTTGCACTCGGACCAGTGGGCCGAGGGGGCGTCCAGCCTGTGGCCGGATGGCGCTTGGTCCGGGGCCCAGGAGAGGGGAGGCTCTGTCCATGCGGCAGCTGCACAGCTGGGAACTGGCCCCCCAGCCCGTCTGGCCTGCTTTCAGGGACACTTACCCGCTGGACCCTCCTCAGCTTGGCCCCAGCCAGGGCGGCGGCCAGACCCGACACAGAGCTCTCGTCGTGGCTGGAGCCCTGGGCTCCTCCGGCTGGCAGCGGGGGCGGGGGCGGGGGTGCGGCCCCCGCGGGTGGTGGTGGGACAGGCGGCGGGGGCGGGGGCGGAGGCCCACTACAGGAGAGGGGGGCGCTGGCTGCAGATGAGGGGTGCCCCGGTGGGAGGGTGGGTCCTGAAACACAACAGGGGGCTTGGTCAGGCCCCAGGCCCCAGCTGCGCCTCCCTGGGGGAGGGCAGGGATGGGGGCAGCCTGCTTCTCTGAGGGGCCAGGAACGACTCAGGCTGCCTCTCCCGTCCCCCTCGGGGTGGGTCTGGCCCTGCTCCGGTCACTCCCTGCGCTGGCTCCCGTCTCCCCAGCGTCGGGGCCTGGCTGGGCCCACAGCGCCACATGCTTGCCTCACGGCCCTGAGCTCAGCTGGCTTTGTCCTGCTCTCGTCCTGGGTTTCCAGTGGGGGGGGCAGACCTCTGGTGACAGAAACTGTCTTTCTCTGCTTCTCTGCTCCTCCTCAATACCTAGTCCCACCCCAGGCATCTGCAGACCTGGGTCCCTGAGATGCAGCTGAGACGGGCTCTCGGCCTCTGGGGACCATGGCAGGTAACTGTGGGCGGCAGGGCGGACCGGGCGCATGTGAGGGGGCAATGCTGAGTGCTGGGGAGTCCCCCGTCCCCGTCTCCCCTCAATGTCCCAGCCCCGGAGGCTGGTGGGGGGAGCTGGCCGAGCGCAGCTACTGCCCACCCTCTGCCCTCTTCTCTCGCTTCCCTGCTCTCACGGACTGTGACGGCCACACCCTGAGATCCGTGTGACCGGCCGCTCTTCCGAGAGGGCCCGGCCCACCCCTCACCTGTGGCCGAGGCTCTTCTCTCTAGAGACTCCTGGCGCTGCTGCTGGTGCTGCTGCTCCATCACTTGTCTGAAAGGCAACAAGGGCGGAGCGGGCGTGACTTCTCTGTGCCCTGTGTCCACGGAACGCAGGCCGCGGGGCTGGGCGTCACCGGCTCCTCCGAGAGCCCCCTGGCGCCCTGGGCTGGGGGGCTCACGGTGAGTACCCCGGGCTTGCTGCCTCCACTTAACGGAGGCGGGGTACACGGCTGGCTCAAGGTCCCCAAACAGGGGATACCCCTACACAGGGAGCCAACCACGAAGGCTCGGGCGACCACGTGGCAGAGTGGCCCAGCTCTCCCCTAGGTCAGAGAGCCCCTGGCTCCGGCCCCTGGCTGATGGCTGCTTTGGCCTGTGGCCTCGGCTGCCCCGACCCCACATCCCCTGCTCCCGCTGCACCTGGAGAAGCTCCTGGAGCACTTGTCAGGGGGAGTGGGCGCTTGGCAGCACACACTGCTTCCTTCAGCACGGACCTCGCCGTGGGCCCGGCCCCCACTAACAGGGCCGTCCGCAGGTGGCAGCGCGGGCTGTGTGCGCCTCCGCGGGAACCGACCCGCGTTCCTCGTGGCAGAGCGGCCTCAGGGGGCTTCGGAAGGCCGGGCGTGTGAGGACGCTGACCCACGAACGCACCGGCAGAAGCTGGGACGGAGGTGCTGGAGCAGGAGGGGCTCCCGGAGCCGAGCAGACTGGGGCAGGGGCACCCGGACCGGCCTGGCGGGGGAGTGGGCGGGGGCGAGCGACAGTGTCTCCGTGGCAGGGAAGGCGGGAGGGCGCCACGCAGGGTGGGGAGCCGTGGGCCCCGCGCCCACGCCCTGTGCACAGCGGAGCTGGCCCTCTCTGCCGCCTGGCTCTGGGTCCTGCATGCAGCGACTGCTGGGGGTGGGGGGGCAGGGGAGCACCTGGCGGCCAGACGGGGCCCGCAGCCCACGGCGGAGACCATTTAGAGGTGGGGGGCTGTCCGGCTCCCATCCTGGGACCCCTGGCTCTGTGACCACGGGGACGCCTTTCCCTTTCCTGGGCCTCAGACTCCTCGCCATAAAATAAGCGTAATTATGTCCGTGTCATGGACTTCTTTTAAGATTTGTGCCTGGTACCTAAAAACAACGGACAAGGCCCTCTGGCATCGGAGGGGTTTGAAAACCTCCCGGCAGCACTGCATCGGCCGCCCCCTCCAAACTGCTGAGATGTTGCCCAAAACACCAGCCCCCCCAGCAGGATCCGTATTTAGGAGCCCTCGGCGAGATGAGGATATTTGAAAATATTTAAAGAGCAGGTGTGAACTCACGATACTGTTCGCGTGAAAACGAGAAGGCTCCCGTGCTCGGAGCCCCTGGCCCACTGTGTGACCCTGGGTCGGTCGCCTCTCCCTCCCCGGCCCTCCCTCTGTGGGAAGTCATAGCCAGGCCCCCGCTGCGCGGTGCGCCTCCTGCAGTTCGCAGACTGACCTCCAGGGGCGCTCCAGCCTGCAGGCAGGTGACTGCGGGCAACACTGGACTTGAAGGGTCTGTGGCCAGGGGCCTCCCGCAGTTTGGACTGGGGTTGTGGGCTAAGATACATGGTGTGGCGTTCACCAGTTCTGAGAGAGCAACGGAAGGGTCTGTGTAGCCTGCGTGCCCCCGTGCACGAGTTCTTGGGCTGGCAGGGCTCACTCAGAGGCCCTGGCCGAGCGCTGAGCGGGGCCACACCAGGCGCCAGTCCTGGTTCCTTCCACCTCTGAGTGACGGCTCCTTCGGGCGTCTAGCCACAAGGCCCTGGAGTCACCCCGTTCCCAGAAGCTAAATGAGGGGAGTGGGGCCAGGCCTGCCTCCTCAGCACAGCAACCCCCCCACCCCACCCCGAGCTGGACGCAAAGCCTCGTGGGGAGGGGGGAGGCGGAGCCCTGCGGGCGAGGGCAGCCCAGGTTTAAGCCCTGGCCCTGCCTTTCCCGGCAAAGGGACCTGGGGGGAGGCCACACCCTCCTTGGCCCTCACGACCTGTTCTGTCACTTCAGGACGACAGTGCTGGCCCTTCCTCCCAGTTCTGACCTCGCAGGAGCAGCTGGGAAGGTCGGGGGTGGGGGGGTTCTCCCAGGGCCTGTATTCCCCGGGAGCTGCCTCCTCCACGGGCTGGCCCCACGGGGACATTGGTGCAGCCCGGCTCGCCCAGTGCTCTAGGGCCTCTGCGGCTTTAACCTCGCTGGGGGGCGCGCGGGCAGGGGGCTGAGGGTCTCCCGAGGCCGCGGCACCTGCCCGAGGCCTCCAGACAGAGGGAGAGGAGATGGCACAGGACGGCACCCAGGCCGGGGCCTCGGTCCGGCGGTCCTGGGCGCCCCCGGCTGTGTCATGGAGCCCCTCTGCCTCGTGAGAACCGCCCCCTCATACATGCGGCAGGGGCGCGCCCACTGACAGCGACCAGCACCCAGGGCCCCGCCAGGCTTGCTGCCAGGGCTGCAGGACCGGAAGGCGGGGCACCCTCTCTGGGGAACCGCAGACTCGGGCAAAGCGGCCCTGAACTCGCTCCGTCTTCCTTCCTGCTCAGGCCTGTTCCCCTGTCCCAGTGGGGTCCGCTGGGAGTCCGGGTTCTAGTCACTGCAGAGGCGCCCTCTGCTTGCCGAGCGGCGCCCCTGGCCACCAGGCGGGCCCTGCTGGGGGGGCGGTTACCTTCTCTGGATGTCCATCTCATCAGGAGAGGGGCCATTCTGCACCTGACGCTGGGCGGAGGGGCCTGCGGGGCAGAGAAGCAGAGAAGCGCGCTGGTTAGCAGAGAGGAAGGGCCTGGCAAACGCAGCTGGAAGCAGGGACCCGTCTCTGCTCTCCTGGTCAGTCCCACACAAGAAGTCCTTGACCTTCCAGCAGTGGTTCTCACACCCGAGTAACATGCCGCCCCCCTCGTCCTCGCCGGTCACCCCTCTCCCCTTCCCGTGGCTCTCCCCTTGGAGCCAGTACGTGGGGCCTCATTTTCACGTGGTTCAAACCATCCGTTCCGCTCCTAACCCCTGCCTCCTCCCCTCTCAGACTACACTCGCTGCTGTCCCTCCCTCCCTTGCCACCGTCCCCGCCACCCCCTAACATCTGGCATCTAACAACGGTTCCACACAACCGTTGCACCTACGGTCACCAGTGGTCTTGGGACTACCAAACCCTGTAGACCCATCTTCCCCAGCCTTTGAGCAGGCAGGTGTCAGAGCCAGGGCCCGCCCCCGGGCTGCCCGAGCCACCGTCTGTGGCCCTCCGCCCTCTGCTTGCACCTGCGGGTCTGCAGCTGGGGGTGGGGGCCCGTGGGCGGAGGCAGAGGCGGCGGAGGCGGTCAGCACGCAGCCTCCAGGGCCACATCCTTGTCCTGGCCCCGCGTGGGAGGCCGGCGCACGCACCCGGGTTCACACAGGGCTGGTGCTGTGCCACAGTTGTAAGAAAGGCCAGGCTTCTGCACCAGCCCGAGAAAGAGCTGATTGTTCCTTCTCTTGGTGAGCTCAGGGGTCACTGGGGAACTGCGGGCAGTCTCGTGACGGGGGCGGGACTCAAGCGGCTCTCCCGCCTCGGTGACTAGGTGCCTTGTCCCCTCCAGGATGAGGTGACAGCAACATCAGACCTCAACAAAACCCACCAGCTGGGGGGTGAGCGGGATGACAAGGTGACAGGAGCTCGAAGCTCAAACGGACCCTGTGAGTCCGGGCCGAACTCCTGCCCAGCCCGGGAACCCCGTGCGCTGTCCGGGCAGGTCCTCCCGGTGCAGCCCCAGCGATGGAAGCTGCCACGTCCGGGTGAGTGCGGGCTTTCTAGCGCGGCGGCGCCACACCCACCCGCCCCCGAAGGCCTTATTTCCCCCACCAGGTGTGACCCGCCGTGGGCTGAGTCCTCTTCTCTGCTGGGCGGCCGTTTACAGGCCGGAAAGCAGCTTCCAGATTTGGCAGTTTCGGACACCCACTGCCTTGGCCATGGTTGGCCGCGTTCTCGGCCCCGGGACGGAGGACCCCGAGAGCAGCAGGTAAGGGCCCAGGGCTGGGTGGTCCTGCCCGGCCTGCTCCTGGCTCAGCGCCTCCTGCTGCTCTCGGGGGGATGCCTCAGATTCTCTGGAGAGGTGACCAGTGCGGTGTCTGGGTGGTGGTCTGGCACGTCGTAGGCGGGCAACAAACATTAGTTTTCTTTCTGCCTCTAAATGCTTTTTTGGGTTTTATTTATTTAATAGCATATCATTACGCGCTTTTCCACTGACTGTAGCTCTCACAGCCCTACGAGACAGCGCCCATGGGGACCGGTAAGAGGCGGGCCAACAGCCCGGGAAGAAGGGGCTCGCTCCGGGCCTCTCGAGGACAAGCGGCCGACTGCAGAGCCCACGGCCCGGGTCTGGAGCCCGCCCTTTTCCTGGCAGCTCTGGGCCCCGGACCCCCGGACCCGGAGCCCTGTCCCGCACCCGGTCGGAGGCCCCGCCCTGGGACTGAGGTCTCACGAGGTCCAGGTCTGGGCAATCCCAGCTGCCCAAAGCTGTCTGCGTCTGGGGGCCGCCTGGTCACCGGAACTGGTTCCCACCCCTCCCCTCCGTCAGGACCCCGGACAGCAGCCAGCTGCCCGCGCCGTGGTCGGTCTGGGGCAGCCTGCGCTCCAGCCCCTCTTCTGCCCGTTGGGCTGGACTCCTCCCAGCCCCCTCTGCCAGCCCACTCCCTCGGCCCTCGGTGTGTGTGGGGGTGTACGACAGGAGCCCTCTCAGATGCTCCTGCACGTGTGTCTCGTGGAGACGTATTTTAAGATGAGACAGGTGGACTCTTAAGACAGAGGGAAGGGACAAGACAACACTTGGTTGCCTAAGGCCTCCCATCCACTCATAAACTCAGAAACGCTTGTCTGTTCTGAGCTACAAGGGTCCCCGACACCGGAAGGTACAGTCCCTCCTTCTGGTTTAGAGGTGGGAGCTGCGGCCCGGGCAGGGGTCCGCCCCGTGCCCCCTGGGTGTCTGCAGTAGAGATCCCTGTGGCCATCCGGGCCCATTCCCCTCACCGGCCGGGCCGGCCCCCTGGCAGACACAGGGCGGAGGGCTGGGAGGAGGACCCCTCCCCCAGAACTGTGTAGGAGCCCTCGGGAAACTGCTGGTGCCGTCACCTGTGGGTGCTTCCGCACTGAGAAAGTCTCAGGGCGGGGCGCTGGGTGTCTGGCCGTCACTGCCGTCCGTCCTGGCATCCAGTTATCTGCACCCAGTGTGGTGCACTCCGCATTATTCAAGGCGGAGGCCATGCAGTTCTCCCGTGTGTCACAGAGTCACCTCCAGCCACGCCCCCCTCCAGGATCTAGGCAAGGAAGAGGGTGGGGACCCAGCCCCCGCCACCCCACTGCATCTCATTAGTCACAGAGTCTCACTGCTCCTGTGTCTGAGGTCCCACCAGAACCCACAGCCCCTCCGTCCCCACGTGGCCGCCCCGCATCTCCCTGCTGATTAGGTCCCTCATCAGTCTGTCCTGGAGCCTCTGCTTCCACTGCCCCCCCCCACCCTGCCCCCATCTCCCACACTGACACCGCAGCCTGCGAGCGCCGGAAACCCCTTACAGAGTCACAGAGTCGGTCCGAGCCCCGGGGAGCAAGATCCCAGCCCACCTGCAGCCGCGTCTCCCGGACCTGCCCCCACGCAGCCCTTCTGCGTCTGCTGCCTGCGGCTGAGCACGCGCCTGCTTCGCGGCTTCGCCTGCGTGGGCTGCTCGACCCACCCTCTTCCTCCGTCACCTGCCACGTCCCCCAGGCCCAACCCCGCAGTCGCGTGCCCCTTGCCACTGGGCTCTCCAGCCACGTGACAGGGGTGTGGGGCCGTGTCTTCCCTAGGGGAGCGTGCGCTTCCAGGGCCAGAGGCCACCCTCTGACCGGGCCTCCGTGCGCAGGCCGGGCTCACAGCAGATATCCGGTGTCCATTGGACCGAGTTGGCGAGGTTAGAGGGGACTCGGGAGAACAGAGCACAGGGGACGGAACGGGGGAGGCCAAGCTGGCTAGCTCCATGATCAAACGGCACCTGAGGCACGAGCCACAGAGACACAAGGCTGAGAAGGGACCCTCCAAGCGCCTGCCTGCTCAGGGGGGAGACTGCCGGGTGGGGGGAGTGCTCTGCCCACAGCAGGGGCCCACTGCAGACCGGAGGCCACGGGCAAGCCTAGGCGACGGGGCCGTTGACCCCGCCACCGTCACACGAGATGGTTTCTGGTGAGGTCCCTGGCCAAGGACGGCGGCGCTGGGCTCTGCACGCAGCTGTGGGCCAACTTCCAGAGTCACCTTCCGTGGTCCCCCGTGCCCCGCTCTGCGTGGCGAGTAAATGCACGGCGGACACTTGGAAGATCGCACTTGGCTGCCCCGTTCCACTCTGGACCAGACTGGGGCCCCTTTCTTGGGACCAGCGGTCTCCGTCAGGACCCGACAGGCGGTGGGTTTTCACGGGGTGGTGGCCTGGGGGCCACTGGACAGCGGGGACAGTGCTCGTGCCCCCGCAGTCCTTGCCGGGGAAGACAGACCCAGCCCCCACACCGCCCCCCGTTCCTGCCCGGGCTCCTCCGGACTGTTCCAGTGTGTACAAATGCCTGCCAGGTGAACCCGGAGCCGGGAGACCAGGTCTCCGTGGGAGTTCTGCCACAAATAGTGAAGAGCTGAGGGGAACCCCTCTCTGGGCCCCAGTTTCCAACACAGTGAGAAGGACGGAGCCGAGGCCACTGAGTCCTAACCCTCTCCAGTCTGAAGGGGCAGAAGGAGACACCAGGGGATGGACACAGTGGCTACCTCCGGACGGTGGGATTGTTTCCCTCTTTTCCAACTTCCAAACTGGGCAGAAGAAGGGTGCGTTATATCATAAAGACACGGACGCAAAGAGCCCCCAGAGGGACGAGCCCTCCTCTGCGACCCCACCCCTGGGAGGCTGGCCGGTGCGGGGTGCAGCCCGAGGGGGGCCGACAAGCCGAGCTGTCGCGGACACCTGCTCCTGAGAAAGGCCACCCCCCCGCGCCTGCCCATCAACATTCATGAGGCTCCGGGACGCCGGCCCCGGCCCCTGTGCGACAGAGGGACAGGGCAGGTTTCAAGTGAGCCTCCCGAAAGGATGGAACCTGAGCTCCCAGGAGCTCCCGAGACAAAGGATCCAGCGCCTGCTCGGTGAGCCTTGATGGAATTTCTGGCCAGCAAACGACAGCCACCTGGCCTGGGCTGGCAGAGTCCCAAGCCTCTCTGGGCTCCCCTCCCCGCTCTGCCATCTTTCTGCCTTTCCATCTTTCTCCAGAAGGTCCCTCCGTTCTGAGTTGACTTGGAACGACGCTTTGACACAGGGCAGCCTTCCTAGGCCAAGTCCCGAGCATGCGCTCCCCTCTCGTGTCAAGGTTCCTGCCGCCAACCAAGTGTCCATGTGGGGACAGAACCTGTGATCCAGGCCTAACACTTCAGAGTCACCTCGCCAAAGCCACACAGGAACTGCTGGCAGTCTTGGGACCAGTGCCCAGGACAGTGTCTCCCAGCCCAGGGCCCTGTCCACCCTGGCACATGGTGCCAGGCGGCCGCCTCCCCCCCGGGAAGCCGGGGCCCCAGCTCCCACGCTTGGCTCAGCAGCAGACAAACCCCGGCTGCCGCCCAAGTGTAGCACCAGTCGAGGTGCGTTCTTCAAGTGACCCCGGGGGAGTTTCTAGTGCCCCCTCCGCCCAGTCCTTACTAACGAGGGCAGGCCCCCAGCGGGCTGACGGGTGAGGCTGTTCGTCGGACTCAGAGCAGCAGAG